ATAACGTGACCTCTGGCAAGTCACGTAAGGTGGGATCCCACACCTTATAACCAACGGTTGGGATCCAAATGAGCATCGCAACACACGCATACACGCACGCACACGGAAACTGAGTACCCACATGAGCCACAGGGACGTTTATCTCTCAGAATGTTTGGTAATATGTTTATTGTTTGTGATGTGTGTCTATGTATGTATTAACACGTTGTACTGAACGGGGTGAGAATAGCTTGAGCTACCTCATCCCTTTGTGTGTATTTTACCTCAATAAACTTATTTCAATTTCAATTTCAGGGACGTTAGACAAGAAGTTTTTCAGTGTCAGAGTAGTTAATAAATGGAATGTATTAGGCAGTGATGTGGTGGAGGCTGACTCCATACACAGTTTCAAGTGTAGATATGATAGAGCCCAGTAGGCTCAGGAACCTGTACACCAGTTGATTGACAGTTGAGAGGCGGGACCAAAGAGCCAGAGCTCAACCCCCGCAAGCACAATTAGGTGAGCGCGCACACACACACACACACACACACACACACACACACACACACACACACACACACACACACACACACACACACACACACACACACACACACACACACACACACACACACACACACACACACACACACACACACACACACACACACACACACACACACACACACACACACACACACACACACACAGGCTAAACAGGTGTTTTAACCAGTAAACAAGCACCCGGACTCTCCGCGCCTCCCGAGGCCTCGTTACCAACGACACTCTCTCGGTCGTAACTACTTGTTGACACAAACTTTCATCTCCTCAAGCCCCAGCTCACACGCTTTAAATAACCTAGTAAACAATGACCTAAACAAAAGATTTCTGGTGGGACTCAACTAGCAGCCTCACACTAAACATACAAACCACCATAAACAATTTATTTTGCAGCAAACCATCGTTGCAAGATATTCACTGCTCGAGAAGCGAGTAATATCTCCCCCAATTAGCATATCCGACGAATGTGCAATTGACACGCAGGCTTATAACACAGGCTGGTACACAAGTTATCAAACTATCAAGGAACAATCGTCGAGCAATTAGCAAGAATTATCACCTTATCACCTGTGATGACGTGATAGGAAACGCGACACGCTAATCCTGCCCAACGTTCAGTTCCTCCTATCACGCAAAAATAACAGGAAAGGGAATGTCTGGTGTGGTATAGGGGTAGTTACAGCACGGTCTCAAGGGGGGGGGGGGGCCAGTGTTTACATTCAAGAGCTCCGACGACAACACCAAGGTCTTACTTACAGACCTTTAGTGTTAATACCTTGCGTGTGGATACTTCATATGGGGTGATATATTTACCGAGTGAGGCAAGGGCTTGTGTCCACACTACAGGAAAACCTTCCCAGCGTGTTGCGGGGAGGGAATTCCTGCAGGATATGGTGTAGTACTCACAGGACCTGTCCTCAATGGTGACCCGTGGGTGGTGGTGGGCCCTATACCCATCCTGTGGGTGGTGGTGGACCCCATACCCATCTTGTGGGCGGTGGTGGACCCCATTCCCATCCTGTGGGTGGTGGTGGACCCCATACCCATCCCATGGGCGAGGGTGGACCCCATACCCATCCCATGGGCGAGGGTGGACCCCCATACCCATTCCATGGGTATGGTGTAAAGGGTTACAGAGGCCCATAATGGGTTCAGGAACTGAACCCATTGTTGGTTTAGCTAAGCAAGTGACAATCTTTTGAAGCTAGTTACACAATTATTAATATTATATATACATGTACACATATATACATACATTTACACAAATACACATATCAATAGTCTTGTTATATCACAAGTGGTTCAACAAGAGGCTCACAACAGTCACTATACAAGGCACTTTACATCTATGGTGAGTCACACAGTTACTAGTCTTGCTCCACACCCACCCAACTGGGCGGCAGCTTTACAGTCATGTGCTCCACACCCACCCAGCTGGGCGGCAGCTTTACAGTCATGTGCTCCACACCCACCCAACTGGGCGGCAGCTTTACAGTCATGTGCTCCACACCCACCCAACTGGGCGGCAGCTTTACAATCATGTGCTCCACACCCACCCAACTGGGCGGCAGCTTTACAGTCATGTGCTCCACACCCACCCAACTGGGCGGCAGCTTTACAGTCATGTGCTCCACACCCACCCAACTGGGCGGCAGCTTTTCAGTCACGTGCTCCACACCCACCCAACTGGGCGGCAGCTTTACAGTCATGTGCTCCACACCCACCCAACTGGGCGGCAGCTTTACAGTCATGTGCTCCACACCCACCCAACTGGGCGGCAGCTTTACAGTCACGTGCTCCACACCCACCCAACTGGGCGGCAGCTTTACAGTCATGTGCTCCACACCCACCCAACTGGGCGGCAGCTTTGGAGTCACGTGCTCCACACCCACCCAACTGGGCGGCAGCTTTACAGTCATGTGCTCCACACCCACCCAACTGGGCGGCAGCTTTAAAGTCATGTGCTCCACACCCACCCAACTGGGCGGCAGCTTTACAGTCATGTGCTCCACACCCACCCAACTGGGCGGCAGCTTTACAGTCATGTGTTCCACACCCACCCAACTGGGCGGCAGCTTTATAGTCACGTGCTCCACACCCACCCAACTGGGCGGCAGCTTTACAGTCATGTGCTCCACACCCACCCAACTGGGCGGCAGCTTTACAGTCACGTGCTCCACACCCACCCAACTAGGCGGCAGCTTTACAGTCATGTGCTCCACACCCACCCAACTGGGCGGCAGCTTTAAAGTCATGTGCTCCACACCCACCCAACTGGGCGGCAGCTTTACAGTCATGTGCTCCACACCCACCCAACTGGGCGGCAGCTTTACAGTCATGTGTTCCACACCCACCCAACTGGGCGGCAGCTTTACAGTCATGTGCTCCACACCCACCCAACTGGGCGGCAGCTTTACAGTCATGTGCTCCACACCCACCCAACTGGGCGGCAGCTTTACAGTCATGTGCTCCACACCCACCCAACTGGGCGGCAGCTTTACAGTCATGTGCTCCACACCCACCCAACTGGGCGGCAGCTTTACAGTCATGTGCAGGCTGCACCTACAGTGAGTAAGCTGCACAAGCTCAGACTGCACAAGTCACTCCTCATGTGATGATACAACTCATCACCTTCAAATAAAAGTGATCCAAAATATTTACAATTCGTTGTGCTCATCACCAGACTCATCACACACGTGTCCCTCCTGCATGCACCACAACCTGACAGATCAACCCGTCCTCCTAATAGCACGTCGCATTTTGACGTATACTCTACCCTAAGGCTGGTAGGCCGGTCGGCCGAGCGGACAGCACGCTGGACTTGTGATCCTGTGGTCCTGGGTTCGATCCCAGGCGCCGGCGAGAAACAATGGGCAGAGTTTCTTTCACCCTATGCCCCTGTTACCTAGCAGTAAAATAGGGACCTGGGTGTTAGTCAGCTGTCACGGGCTGCTTCCTGGGGGGTGGAGGCCTGGTCGAGGACCGGGCCGCGGGGACACTAAAAAGCCCCGAAATCATCTCAACATAACCTTAAGAAGGCCAAAAATCATCATCGTACTAGAAAACGGTAGCGGCGAAATTGGCATAATATCTCGTTTTCTGTTTTGGGTCCTCTGGTAGGTTAAAATAAGGGCACTTTAGTGCGACACTTTCTTGACGTTGGGGATGGGGGGAAGGTGCTTGAGTAATGTGTAAAATGCAGACAGGAGCGTCCAGGTGCATGTGTTAGTTCCGGGAGACGACAGAGGCGCTGACTCCACGACTCAGGACACGACGACAACCACGACCCGGATTCACGAAGCACTTACACAAGCACTTACGAACGTGTACATCTTTCCTCAACCTTTGACGGCTTTGGTTACATTTATTAAACAGTTTACAAGCATGAAAACTTCCCAATCAACTGTTGTTATTGTTATAAACAGCCTCCTGGTGCTTCGGAGTTCATTAACTGTTTAATAATTGTAAACAAAGTCGCCAAAGATTGAGAAAAGATGGACAGGTTCGTAAGTGCTTGCGTAACTGCTTCGTGAATCTGGCCGCTGGCAACTGGGGAGCAGGAGCGGTCATGGCACTTCCTGGAGGAGGGCAGAACGAGCCTAAGCTACTCTATATTGTCTTGAGATGTACCGTATTGTCTCAATAACCGTACCTGAATGTTACCTCTCGACGACGATCTATACGGGAGGAGGCCGGCGGCCATTGGTGGAGCCTCAACACCCCCCCCCCACTCACTCCCTAGTGGCTAGTTGGCTAGCTTCACCAAGCTAAAGGTTTCTCACCCCACAATGTGAGGCACTTTACAAGTAACTCCTATTCTCGTTGTATTAAATCCTTTTACACACAGTTCCTCTACGGTTCCAAATAATCAGGTGTCCATTGGCTGGAACAAATTCTCTCCATCTCTGCAGTTAGGCGAGAATATCTCACATCCCTTTTCTGCCATTGCACGTTTCAATAATAGTATGCGGTAGACTGTATACCTCACTGACTATATCTTGCACGGAACGATGGTGTGTGATAGGTCCGAACTCTTCTGCAACAGAACACAGGATCTCCCACTCCAAGACACAAACATTGAAGAATTCTCCAAAGCGCTAAATCCCCCCCTAAGTTACCTCTTCAACTTTTACTGTGAACAAGTTAGAGGACAAGACTTGGTTTCAAGTCCCCCGCCAAGTTCAGCCGCCACTGGATTGCGCACAAAGGCTTTTTCCCGCCAAAACAGCTGCAAGGCAGGACAACCATCTGTAGCAAGAAGTAGCTTGACACATTAATGCATAAGTAGTGCTATCAACATCTGGTGGATGTTGGGAGGCCTTAATAACCCTCCAGAGGTTGATAGGCCTTAATAACCCTCCAGAGGCTGATAGGCCTTAATAACGGTCCGGCGGCTGATAGGCCTTAAGCCCAACGCCAAACAACAATATGGCGGCCTCTGGGCACCGGGTGGCGGGAGGTATATAAAGGCGGGCGGGTGAGCCGCCAGGCCTCACTCCTCAGTCACCGCTCTTGTGCCCAGGTCACCTTCCTCGCTCCCACAATGGCTCCCATCGCTGGCAAGTACGTCCTCGAGTCCTCGGAGAACTTCGACGAGTTCATGAAGGCTCTCGGTAAGTGTCTTCAAGTTCTTCCTGTGAAGTAGCGGTACTTACCTACCTTAATGCCCCGCCTGCTGGCCCTTGTTGTACCCGTTGATAAAGGCGTTCTTTGCATCGTGGCCGCAGCTGGTGGCTTCGTCAGCAAGGGCCGAGGGTTGGAAGCCTTCCGTCGATACAGGCTTCCACTAATTTATTTTTTTTTATACAATAGTTCTTATACATTCTTGTGCAGCCACTAGCAGGCGTAGCGTCTCGGGCAGGTCCGTAATGCTAATATTTTCCTCGGAATACGACCCGCCAAATCGTTTACCAGGTATACCTATTCACTGCTGCATGAACAGAGGATGCAGTTAAGGATTGGCGCCCAGTCAATCCTCCCCGGCTAGGATACGAACCGAGGCCAAAGCGCCGGGCGAGTGTCTTACCACTGCGCCACAAGACACAGTGGTAGGGGGGGATCAGTCTGAGAAGATTTACCGCTTGTATTTAGAGGCCGAGAACTGATCCTTTCTTCCTTCGCTATGGCGGCCAAACTGCTATCTTCTTGAGGTTATCTTGAGATGATTTCGGGGCTTAGTGTCCATGCGGCCCGGTCCCAGGCAGCAGCCTGTAGCAGCTATCTAACTCCCAGGTACCTATTTACTGCTAAGTGAGCAGGGGCATCAGGGGTGAAAGAAACTCTGTCCATTTGTTTCCGCCTCTGTCGGGATCGAACCTGGAACCTTAGGACTACGAATACCGAGCGCTGTCCACTCAGCCGTCAGGCCCCCCTTGCTAAGTTAATTACTTTCTGCAAGAAGTACTTCATCAGTTTTAAAACACTGATGAGCTGAGCCTCGCTATGCTCTGAACCAGCCGCTAGTGGAGCTTACCAAGCAGCCAATCACAGCCCACTGACTGAACACCATTTCCGGCGGCAAATTTAGAAATATGAACCAGAGAGTAAGGACATCCTGCAATGGTTGAATGAACTTGTTTTCTCTACATTCTTGTGAACTGCTCGTTAATTGTTGATGGTTAAAAAAGTGTCTTGGGGTTATCTTGAGATCTTGAGGTTATCTTGAGATGATTTCGGGGTTTAGCGTCCCCGCGGCCCGGTCCTCGACCAGGCCTCCTTTTTGTTACCCTCCCCCAGGAAGCAGCCCGTAACAGCTGTCTAACTCCCAGGTACCTATTTACTGATAGGTGAACAGGGGCATGAGGGTGAAAGAAACTCTGTCCATTTGTTTCAGTCTCCACCGGGGATCGAACCCGAAACCTCAGGACTACGAATCCGAAGCGCTGTCCACACAGCTGTCAGGGCCCTCTCGGGTTAAGAAAATTCTTGAATTCTTCATTTACATTGCTAGTTTTAAAGATTAAGGTAATAGCATATTTAGTGAGACAATCAGTAGGAACCTTGAGCAAGATTCGAACCCGCGTTCTGAGTAGTCCCACGCAACGCACACATCCTACTGGTTTTCCCATAGATGAAACGTCACGTTAATGAGATTTCTTTGTGCAGTGTCTTGAAGTTGTCTTCGTTGATCAAAGTATTCATCTGCTTCATAATCTTCGTTGGGTTCTCATCCCACGGGCTACCTGTTAATGATGTAGACTTGGCTCTGATTACATTTAGCATTGTCTTGTAAAATGGAGATTTATCTGTGATTACTTCACCCGTGAGTGATGTATCCCTCAGTCATGTTCGGTCGACACGTTATACATCCTGGTGTTCGGTCACTATGTTATACACCCTTGTGTTCGGTCACTATGTTATACACTCTTGTGTTCGGTCACTGTTATACACCCTTGTGTTCGGTCACTATGTTATACACCCTTGTGTTCGGTCACTATGTTATACACCCTTGTGTTCGGTCATTATGTTATACACCCTTGTGTTCGGTCACTACGTTATACACCCTTGTGTTCGGTCACTACGTTATACACCCTTGTGTTCGGTCACTACGTTATACACCCTTGTGTTCGGTCACTACGTTATACACCCTTGTGTTCGGTCACTACGTTATACACCCTTGTGTTCGGTCACTACGTTATACACCCTTGTGTTCGGTCACTACGTTATACACCCTTGTGTTCGGTCACTACGTTATACAGCCTTGTGTTCGGTCGACGCATTATACACCCTTGTGTTCGGTCGACGCATTATACACCCTTGTGTTCGGTGGACGCATTATACACCCTTGTGTTCGGTCGACGCATTATACACCCTTGTGTTCGGTCACTACGTTATACACCCTTGTGTTCGGTCGATGCATTATACACCCTTGTGTTCGGTCGACATGGTATACACCCTTGTGTTTGGTCGACACGGTATACACCCTTGTGTTCGGTCGACACGGTATACACCCTTGTGTTCGGTCGACACGGTATACACCCTTGTGTTCGGTCGACACGGTATACACCCTTGTGTTCGGTCGACGCATTATACACCCTTGTGTTCGGTCGACATGGTATACACCCTTGTGTTCGGTCGACATGGTATACACCCTTGTGTTCGGTCGACACGGTATACACCCTTGTGTTCGGTCGACACGGTATACACCCTTGTGTTCGGTCGACACGGTATACACCCTTGTGTTCGGTCGACGCATTATACACCCTTGTGTTCGGTCGACATGGTATACACCCTTGTGTTCGGTCGACACGGTATACACCCTTGTGTTCGGTCGACACGGTATACACCCTTGTGTTCGGTCGACACGGTATACACCCTTGTGTTCGGTCGACACGGTATACACCCTTGTGTTCGGTCGACACGGTATACACCCTTGTGTTCGGTCGACACGGTATACACCCTTGTGTTCGGTCGACACGGTATACACCCTTGTGTTCGGTCGACACGGTATACACCCTTGTGTTCGGTCGCTACGGCGCGCGTGCCTGAGAGAGACAAGTCTAGACGCCGTTGTTCCTGGTACTGGTAGTCTAAAACAATCACTCCGGACCTTGGTACTGTGAGCCTGGTAGTGCCTGAGGCGAGAGGCAGTACCTGGTGTTCAAGGGAGTACCAACCCAGTCATGTGTGTCGAGAAATGCATAAGAGTTGCTTGAGGTCTCCTTGTCTGGTGATGCAAGCACTACAATCACCTTCTGTGGTTGATTGTTCAATAAATCACTGCTTGATACCTGCTTGATGGGGTTCTGGGAGTTCTTCTACTCCTCAAGCCCGGCCCGAGGCCAGGCTTCACTGAACTATATGTTGAACACATCTCTCACCCTGTCCATGGAGGACAGAAGAAAATGTATATATGCTGGTTAGCATTGTAAATGTCTGGCCACGTCTGTGGTAGAAAATGAAAATATCCGGACCTATATATTTCTCTGATCAGATCAACTTGACCACCTTATTGACCATTCCCAGGATGCAACCCACAACAGCTGTCTAACTCCTAGGTGCCTACTTACTACTAGGTGCTCATGCACCTAGCAAAGTTAAGGGTCCGGTTTAATGTCCTCTAATTACTGCACAATTACCTCCGTCCCCGCCCCAACACGTGGGTGATAACGCTCAGTGCTCTCCACACCACTCTCACAGTCTACGCTATATGCCGCTGATTAACAGCTATGCAAGTTTGCCATGCACATTATCTAAATTATAAATGGGTTATATCCACCTAAGATATAGCTAAGATCACCAGGATGGGGATGTGTGGGAGGATGATAGGCATCCGTCAGTCTCAGGAGACTATGGAGTTGTGCTCTGGTTGTCGGTCTGGAGTGGCCTCACCAGGGCGCAAAGTCAGGGTAGGTTGATACGGGGGAGAAGCTGTTACCCAGGCAGCAGGCACCCCCCCCCCCTCTCCACGGCGCTGAATTTCTCCAATGGAAAGGCTTAGGGTAGGTTGATACGAGGGAGAAGCTGTTACCCAGGCAGCAGGCACCCCCCCCCCTCTCCACGGCGCTGAATTTCTCCAATGGAAAGGCTTACGCCAATATGATTGGTTCCAGCGCCGTCGCAGGAACTGTGAGTTCCAGGACTAACTGAAACAACTCATATTGAGAATATGTATAGATATAACCCACATAATTTGGGCAACGGGTTTAAGCTCAACAAGCCACACTGTAGGACTGAGAACAGGAGATACTTCTTCACCCAGAGGGGTTATAAACCCGTGGAACCGCCTACCCGCCGAAGCCGTAAATGCCAAAACTCTGTTGGGCGTTGAAATACAACTGGAAAAGATCCTCGGGGTAAATAGGGGCACCTTTGACAAGCCGCCGGCTTCCTATCTTCGTCGAGGCCACTAATACTAGTGGCCCCTAAGGTAAATTCAAATAAATTCAGGAATGTTCATCAATGCCGGGGAGCCGGTCGGCCGAGCGGACAGCACACTGGACTTGTGATCCTGTGGTCCCGGGTTCGATCCCGGGCGCCGGCGAGAAACAATGGGCAGAGTTTCTTTCACCCTATGCCCCTGTTACCTAGCAGTAAAATAGGTACCTGGGAGTTAGTCAGCTGTCACGGGCTGCTTCCTGGGGGTGGAGGCCTGGTCGAGGACCGGGCCGCGGGGACACTAAAGACCCGAAATCATCTCAAGATAACCTCAAGGAGATGGTTCTCATCGTGGCTGTAACTACAACGTAAACAGGACTATGGGCTGTTGCAGCAGGGCTTATATAATGTTCCCGTTTTATAGGATCATTATAGACTGTGAGCTCCGTCTTCAGCTCACTCGAGAAGTTCCTGTATATACTTCAGTTAAAGTCTACTGCTAATTTTGTTTTTAATTTTGCTCCGAGGGGCGAGTTTATAGGGCAGCGCCACGCATCCTGTGAGTGGACACACCGCCATAGTGACAGTATTGGGCAGCGCCACTCATCCTGTGAGTGGACACACCGCCATAGTGACAGTATTGGGCAGCGCCACTCATCCTGTGAGTGGACACACCGCCATAGTGACAGTATTGGGCAGCGCCACTCATCTTGTGAGTGGACACACCGCCATAGTGACAGTATTGGGCAGCGCCACTCATCTTGTGAGTGGACACACCGCCATAGTGACAGTATTG